TGGTGTTAACCAGGTTTCACTAAGTATAATTATATCATATGATGCCATGGACACGTTGTTTGAAAATTCATTCAATTTAGTTCTGATGCCTCTAATGTTCTGGTAATAAATCCTAAATCATTGATAGGGTTAATTCCTGCGCCGTGGCTGGGCCTGCCTTTTAAAAAAGCGTCTACCTTGTGCTGATGGTAATGGTTGATTTCTTCTAGGGAAATTGAATGGCTTGACAATCACATTTTCAGGCCATATGTCGCTATTAAATAATGTATTCTTGACACCAGGTTTCACGGAGAGCGCTTAAAAGATGCCACCACATGTTGGTTCTGAGACGACAGTTTCTCACAGGTTAAGGCTTCAATGTTGTTGGACTTAAGATAATTTAGTAATTGATCAGTTGTGGTTCCTGCTTCCAGGTTGCCTATATAACACCAGAACTGTTCCTCCGCTGCTACAATTCCAGTTGAAGTTTTGTTTGTACCCCTGACAAGAGTGTTAGAGTTACCAAGTTGTTTAGGACCTGTTGAATGTTCAGATTGCTTGATGGGACCAGGTTTAATGGAGACTGCAGTTGAGCAGGTAGGAGGGCCATTGATAGAAACCAATGCATCATTGATAGCTTTACTCGTTTGCTCTTGTGATTTCATGGACTATTGGGGGCTTGGACAACTTACTTGCATATGTCTTCATCTCAATCTTCATGCAATTGAGAAGTTCCTTATTAGTTTACCCTGAATCAAGTTAAGGTGTGAGCTCAAGGATTTGGTTAGTTCATTGTTGATCTTTTCAGTGAAGAACAACAATTTATCGTCAAGTATAGGTTGTAAAATGCAGTAATTTATGATATAGGTTTGGTTGTTGATTAGCACCGACTTGTCATTGGCCAAACATGGCGGCAAATGTCATTCGTCGAATGAGTAGGCAGGCGTTCTTTCCGTGTCATGGTTGCTCTAAGCATTGCACAAAGATGGCGGCAAATGTCATTCGTCGAATGAGTATGCAGGCGTTCTTTCCGTGTCATGTTTGCTCTAAGCATTGCACAAAGATGGCGGCAAATGTCATTCGTCGAATGAGTAGGCAGCCGCCTTTCCCTGTCATGTTGATTCTATCGCTCTGGACACAAACATGATGTCAAATGTCATTCGTCGAATGTTGTTATTTTTTCTTTTGAAATAGTTTATTTAAACAAAATAATACAAAAAGTATAACCAGTTTTAACAATAATTCCCCAATCAGTGTTTGCAAACACTGGCCCCGAGAATAACAAGACAATAATCAATATCTATGAACTACAGTTTTGCTCTGCTGCACCGCACCACAAGTTTCTTCCTGTGTTAATTGTACAGATAATGGCCCAGAACCACACTGTACCGGTGGACAGACCCGCAGTTAGTGCCCACAACCCAAATCTGCAAAGATGAAGCCTTGCAACAACACCAACCAACAGCTACATCGAGGACATTGATTCAGCCTGACTACAAGAATAAGAAGAAGGTTTTGTTGATAATCGGTGGAGCAGCCACTGTCTTTATTGGGAGTGCAATCAAGATGAAATGTCCAGTCAGAAGGTCAGTATAACAACACCTGTCAGCAGTTTTTTTTGATTTACCACTGCAAAACTTGATAGCTGTAGTCACAAAAAATTACTGTACCTTTGATAACAAGTAATTCGGGTCTTCTAGGACACCAGAAATAATAATCTGTTACTCATGACATAGTCCTGTGAAATTCCATTCGGACATCGTAACTTTTCCTGTGAAAAAAAATCGAAAAAACAGAATGCAAAGTAATATTTTTCACATCACATAATAGCTCAAGTACGACTGAATATTTACAAATGGGAATTTATATTTTTACACATTGCACAATCCACAATGCATTCAAGCTTTCAAGCAATTGTTGATGTAACGATAATGGAACTTTTATTTTCAGCTTTCGCAAAAAAGAGCAGTTAAGCATGAAGTTTGACTGTAGATCTCAAAACATTTGAATCGAGTAGAAAAAACGAGCTTCCTTAATATTTCACTATTAAAGAATCTGACAAGTATGGTTGGTGTTGCTCTTTTCTTTGAAAAATTTATTCAATGCCCGTTAATCTGTGAAGAAAATGTAAAAAAGAAATGTGGTGAGTAGATGTATGGAGAAATAACCTTGTTCAGGGTCTACAGAATAATTTTTATGGATTCTGAATATGTCAAGGTTTAAACAATTTCCTCATTGTAGTGTGCAGCAGGACGTGGCGTGTCAGGAAACAAATGCAGAATCATCCGAAGAGTCGGGTACGAAATGAAGAAACTAGTCGGACCAGCTTACAAATGATCTCATCAAGCCACCCGTTTTCAAAAGAACTTCATTGGATCGCCGTGTCAAGCAATAAAATGTGAACTGGTGCTTTCAATATAGGTGTAAAATGCAGTATTTTTGTGATATAGGTTTGGTTGTTGATTAGCACCGACTTGTCATTGGCCAAACATGGCGGCAAATGTCATTCGTCGAATGAGTAGGCAGCCGCCTTTCCCTGTCATGTTGATTCTATCGCTCTGGACACAACATGATGTCGAATGTTGTTATTTTTTCTTTTGAAATAGTTTATTTAAACAAAATAATACAAAAAGTATAACCAGTTTTAACAATAATTCCCCAATCAGTGTTTGCAAACACTGGCTCCGAGAATAACAAGACAATAATCAATATCTATGAACTACAGTTTTGCTCTAGCACTGCACCACAAGTTTCTTCCTGTGTTAATTGTACAGATAATGGCCCAGAACCACACTGTACCGGTGGACAGACCCGCAGTTATGTGCCCACAACCCAAATCTGCAAAGATGAAGCCTTGCAACACACCAACCAACAGCTACATCGAGGACATTGATTCAGCCTGACTACAAGAATAAGAAGAAGGTTTTGTTGATAATCGGTGGAGCAGCCACTGTCTTTATTGGGAGTGCAATCAAGATGAATGTCCAGTCAGAAGGTCAGTATAGACAACACCTGTCAGCAGTTTTTTTGATTTACCCACTGCAAAACTTGATAGCTGTAGTCACAAAAAATTACTGTACCTTTGATAACAAGTAATTCGGGTCTTCTAGGACACCAGAAATAATAATCTGTTTACTCATGAAATAGTCCTGTGAAATTCATTCGGACATCGTAACTTTTCCTGTGAAAAAAATCGAAAAAACAGAATGCAAAGTAATATTTTTCACATCATCAATAATAGCTCAAGTTCGACTGAATATTTACAAAGACAGAGACTATGGGAATTTATATTTTTACACATTGCACAATCCACAATGCATTCAAGCTTTCAAGCAATTGTTGATGTAACGATAATGGAACTTTTTATTTTCAGCTTTGCAAAAAAAGAGCAGTTAAGCACGAAGTTTGACTGTAGATCTCAAAACATTTGAATCGAGTAGAAAAAACGAGCTTCCTTAATATTTCACTATTAAAGAATCTGGCAAGTATGGTTGGTGTTGCTCTTTTCTTTGAAAAATTTATTCAATGCCCCGGTAATCTGTGAAGAAAATGTAAAAAGAAATCTGGTGAGTAGATGTATGGAGAAATAACCTTGTTCAGGGTCTACAGAATAATTTTTATGGATTCTGAATATGTCAAGGTTTAAACAATTTCCTCATTGTAAGTGTGCAGCAGGACATGGCGTGTCAGGAAACAAATGCAGAATCATCCGAAGAGTCCGGTACGAAATGAAGAAACTAGTCGGACCAGCTTACAAATGATCTCATCAAGCCACCCGTTTCAAAGAACTTCATTGGATCGCCGTGTTAAGCAATAAAATGTGAACTGGTGCTTTCAATATAGGTTGTAAAATGCAGTATTTTTGTGATATAGGTTTGGTTGTTGATTAGCACCGACTTGTCATTGGCCAAACATGGCGGCAAATGTCATTCGTCGAATGAGTAGGCAGGCGTTCTTTCCGTGTCATGGTTGCTCTAAGCATTCCACAAGATGGCGGCAAATGTCATTCGTCGAATGAGTATGCAGGCGTTCTTTCCGTGTCATGTTTGCTCTAAGCATTGCACAAAGATGGCGGCAAATGTCATTCGTCCGAATGAGTAGGCAGCCGCCTTTCCCTGTCATGTTGATTCTATCGCTCTGGACACAAACATGATGTCAAATGTCATTCGTGGAATGTTGTTATTTTTTCTTTTGAAATAGTTTATTTAAACAAAATAATACAAAAGTATAACCAGTTTTAACAATAATTCCCCAATCAGTGTTTGCAAACACTGGCCCCGAGAATAACAAGACAATAATCAATATCTATGAACTACAGTTTTGCTCTAGCACTGCACCACAAGTTTTCTTCCTGTGTTAATTGTACAGATAATGGCCCAGAACCACACTGTACCGGTGGACAGACCCGCAGTTATGTGCCCACAACCCAAATCTGCAAAGATGAAGCCTGCAACAACACCACCAACAGCTACATCGAGGACATTGATTCAGCCTGACTACAAGAATAAGAAGAAGGTTTTGTTGATAATCGGTGGAGCAGCCACTGTCCTTTATTGGGAGTGCAATCAAGATGAAATGTCCAGTCAGAAGGTCAGTATAACAACACCTGTCAGCAGTTTTTTTGATTTACCCACTGCAAAACTTGATAGCTGTAGTCACAAAAAATTACTGTACCTTTGATAACAAGTAATTCGGGTCTTCTAGGACACCAGAAATAATAATCTGTTACTCATGACATAGTCCTGTGAAATTCCATTCGGACATCGTAACTTTTTCCTGTGAAAAAAATCGAAAAAACAGAGTGCAAAGTAATATTTTTCACATCATCAATAATAGCTCAAGTACGACTGAATATTTACAAATGGGAATTTATATTTTTACACATTGCACAATCCACAATGCATTCAAGCTTTCAAGCAATTGTTGATGTAACGATAATGGAACTTTTATTTTCAGCTTTGCAAAAAAGAGCAGTTAAGCATGAAGTTTGACTGTAGATCTCAAAACATTTGAATCGAGTAGAAAAAACGAGCTTCCTTAATATTTCACTATTAAAGAATCTGACAAGTATGGTTGGTGTTGCTCTTTTCTTTGAAAAATTTATTCAATGCCCCGTTAATCTGTGAAGAAAATGTAAAAAGAAATGTGGTGAGTAGATGTATGGAGAAATAACCTTGTTCAGGGTCTACAGAATAATTTTTATGGATTCTGAATATGTCAAGGTTTAAAACAATTTCCTCATTGTAGTGTGCAGCAGGACGTGGCGTGGTCAGGAAACAAATGCAGAATCATCGAAGAGTCGGTACGAAATGAAGAAACTAGTCGGACCAGCTTACAAATGATCTCATCAAGCCACCCGTTTCAAAGAACTTCATTGGATCGCCGTGTCAAGCAATAAATGTAAACTGGTGCTTTCAATATAGGTTGTAAAATGCAGTATTTTTGTGATATAGGTTTGGTTGTTGATTAGCACCGACTTGTCATTGGCCAACATGGCGGCAAATATCATTCGTCGAATGAGTAGACAGCCGCCTTTCCCTGTCATGTTGATTCTATCGCTCTGGACACAAACATGATGTCATTCGTCGATGTTGTTATTTTTTCTTTTGAAATAGTTTTATTTTAAACAAAATAATACAAAAAGTATAACCAGTTTTAACAATAATTCCCCAATCAGTGTTTGCAAACACTGGCCCCGAGAATAACAAGACAATAATCAATATCTATGACTACAGTTTTGCTCTAGCACTGCACCACAAGTTTCTTCCTGTGTTAATTGTACAGATAATGGCCCAGAACCACACTGTACCGGTGGACAGACCCGCAGTTATGTGCCCACAACCCAAATCTGCAAAGATGAAGCCTTGCAACAACACCAACCAACAGCTACATCGAGGACATTGATTCAGCCTGACTACAAGAATAAGAAGAAGGTTTTGTTGATAATCGGTGGAGCAGCCACTGTCTTTATTGGGAGTGCAATCAAGATGAAATGTCCAGTCAGAAGGTCAGTATAGACAACACCTGTCAGCAGTTTTTTTGATTTACCCACTGCAAAACTTGATAGCTGTAGTCACAAAAAATTACTGTACCTTTGATAACAAGTAATTTGGGTCTTCTAGGACACCAGAAATAATAATCTGTTACTCATGACATAGTCCTGTGAAATTCCATTCGGACATCGTAACTTTTTCCTGTGAAAAAAATCGAAAAAACAGAATGCAAAGTAATATTTTTCACATCATCAATAATAGCTCAAGTTTGACTGAATATTTACAAAGACAGAGACTATGGGACTTATATTTTTACACATTGCACAATCCACAATGCATTCAAGCTTTCAAGCAATTGTTTGATGTAACGATAATGGAACTTTTTATTTTCAGCTTTGCAAAAAAGAGCAGTTAAGCACGAAGTTTGACTGTAGATCTCAAAACATTTGAATCGAGTAGAAAAAACGAGCTTCCTTAATATTTCACTATTAAAGAATCTGACAAGTATGGTTGGTGTTGCTCTTTTCTTTGAAAAATTTATTCAATGCCCCGTTAAAATGTGAAGAAAATGTAAAAAGAAATATGGTGAGTAGATGTATGGAGAAATAACCTTGTTCAGGGTCTACAGAATAATTTTTATGGATTCTGAATATGTCAAGGTTTAAAACAATTTCCTCATTGTAGTGTACAGCAGGACGTGGCGTGTCAGGAAACAAATGCAGAATCATCCGAAGAGTCCGGTACGAAATGAAGAAACTAGTCGGACCAGCTTACAAATGATCTCATCAAGCCACCCGTTTCAAAGAACTTCATTGGATCGCCGTGTCAAGCAATAAAATGTGAACTGGTGCTTTCAATATAGGTTTGTAAAATGCAGTATTTTTGTGATATAGGTTTGGTTGTTGATTAGCAACCGACTTGTCATTGGCCAAACATGGCGGCAAATGATTCCCAAAGTTGAAAAACATTTAGCACCAGCTGCAGAGAATATATTTTTGAGAATACTGCACAATTTGAAAGGTTTTTCTAATGATTTTTGATAGTACGATTGAACTATTGTTCGGGATATTGAGGTTGATTATTGTTTTTTTATATTGTATTTATAATCCAATAAATAGCATATTTCTTCTGATTTGTAAGTCCGGATGATGAAAGCACATACAGGTGGTTTGAACCATCTAGGTGCATCTTTCTGTCATCAGGATGTCCTTGATGAAGAGGAATTATATTGCTGTATTATATATTTATGTGTATTTATAATTTTTTGTATATGGTCTTTGTTGGATGTTATTGATATTAAATAAATAAATAAATAAATAAATGAGTCATTAAACTCTGGTGTTAACCAGGTTTCACTAAGTATAATTATATCATATGATGCCATGGACACGTGTTTGAAAATTCATTCAATTTAGTTCTGATGCCTCTAATGTTCTGGTAATAAATCCTAATATCATTGATAGGGTTAATTCCTGCGCCGTGGCTGGGCCTGCCTTTTAAAAAAGCGTCTACCTTGTGCTGATGGTAATGGTTGATTTCTTCTAGGGAAATTGAATGGCTTGACAATCACATTTTCAGGCCATATGTCGCTATTAAATAATGTATTCTTGACACCAGGTTTCACGGAGAGCGCTTAAAAGATGCCACCACATGTTGGTTCTGAGACGACAGTTTCTCATAGGTTAAGGCTTCAATGTTGTTGGACTTAAGATAATTTAGTAATTGATCAGTTGTGGTTCCTGCTTCCAGGTTGCCTATATAACACCAGAACTGTTCCTCCGCTGCTACAATTCCAGTTGAAGTTTGTTTTGTACCCCTGACAGAGTGTTAGAGTTACCAAGTTGTTTAGGACCTGTTGAATGTTCAGATTGCTTGATGGGACCAGGTTTAATGGAGACTGCAGTTGAGCAGGTAGGAGGGCCATTGATAGAAACCAATGCATCATTGATAGCTTTACTCGTTTGCTCTTGTGTGATTTCATGGACTATTGGGGGCTTGGACAACTTAGTTGCATATGTCTTCATCTCAATCTTCATGCAATTGAGAAGTTCCTTATTAGTTTACCCTGAATCAAGTTAAGGTGTGAGCTCAAGGATTTGGTTAGTTCATTGTTGATCTTTTCAGTGAAGAACAACAATTTATCGTCAAGTATAGGTTGTAAAATGCAGTAATTTATGATATAGGTTTGGTTGTTGATTAGCCACCGACTTGTCATTGGCCAAACATGGCGGCAAATGTCATTCGTCGAATGAGTAGGCAGGCGTTCTTTCCGTGTCATGGTTGCTCTAAGCATTGCACAAAGATGGCGGCAAATGTCATTCGTCGAATGAGTATGCAGGCGTTCTTTCCGTGTCATGTTTGCTCTAAGCATTGCACAAAGATGGCGGCAAATGTCATTCGTCGAATGAGTAGGCAGCCGCCTTTCCCTGTCATGTTGATTCTATCGCTCTGGACACAAACATGATGTCAAATGTCATTCGTCGAATGTTGTTATTTTTTCTTTGAATAGTTTATTTAAACAAAATAATACAAAAAGTATAACCAGTTTTAACAATAATTCCCAATCAGTGTTTGCAAACACTGGCCCCGAGAATAACAAGACAATAATTAATATCTATGACTACAGTTTTGCTCTAGCACTGCACCACAAGTTTCTTCCTGTGTTAATTGTACAGATAATGGCCCAGAACCACACTGTACCGGTGGACAGACCCGCAGTTATGTGCCCACAACCCAAATCTGCAAAGATGAAGCCTTGCAACAACACCAACCAACAGCTACATCGAGGACATTGATTCAGCCTAACTACAAGAATAAGAAGAAGGTTTTGTTGATAATCGGTGGAGCAGCCCACTGTCTTTATTGGGAGTGCAATCAAGATGAAATGTCCAGTCAGAAGGTCAGTATAACAACACCTGTCAGCAGTTTTTTTGATTTACCCACTGCAAAACTTGATAGCTGTAGTCACAAAAAATTACTGTACCTTTGATAACAAGTAATTCGGGTCTTCTAGGACACCAGAAATAATAATCTGTTACTCATGACATAGTCCTGTGAAATTCCATTCGGACATCGTAACTTTTTCCTGTGAAAAAAATCGAAAAAACAGAATGCAAAGTAATATTTTTCACATCATCAATAATAGCTCAAGTACGACTGAATATTTACAAATGGGAATTTATATTTTTACACATTGCACAATCCACAATGCATTCAAGCTTTCAAGCATTGTTGATGTAACGATAATGGAACTTTTTATTTTCAGCTTTGCAAAAAAGAGCAGTTAAGCATGAAGTTTGACTGTAGATCTCAAAACATTTGAATCGAGTAGAAAAAAACGAGCTTCCTTAATATTTCACTATTAAAGAATCTGACAAGTATGGTTGGTGTTGCTCTTTCTCTTTTGAAAATTTATTCAATGCCCCGTTAATCTGTGAAGAAAATGTAAAAAGAAATGTGGTGAGTAGATGTATGGAGAAATAACCTTGTTCAGGGTCTACAGAATAATTTTTATGGATTCTGAATATGTCAAGGTTTAAACAATTTCCTCATTGTAGTGTGCAGCAGGACGTGGCGTGTCAGGAAACAAATGCAGAATCATCCGAAGAGTCGGGTACGAAATGAAGAAACTAGTCGGACCAGCTTACAAATGATCTCATCAAGCCACCCGTTTCAAAGAACTTCATTGGATCGCGTGTCAAGCAATAAAATGTGAACTGGTGCTTTCAATATAGGTTGTAAAATGCAGTATTTTGTGATATAGGTTTGGTTGTTGATTAGCACCGACTTGTCATTGGCCAAACATGGCGGCAAATGTCATTCGTCGAATGAGTAGGCAGCCGCCTTTCCCTGTCATGTTGATTCTATCGCTCTGGACACAAACATGATGTCAAATGTCATTCGTCGAATGTTGTTATTTTTTCTTTTGAAATAGTTTATTTAAACAAAATAATACAAAAAGTATAACCAGTTTTAACAATAATTCCCCAATCAGTGTTTGCAAACACTGGCCCCGAGAATAACAGACAATAATCAATATCTATGAACTACAGTTTTGCTCTAGCACTGCACCACAAGTTTCTTCCTGTGTTTAATTGTACAGATAATGGCCCAGACCACACTGTACCGGTGGACAGACCCGCAGTTATGTGCCCACAACCCAAATCTGCAAAGATGAAGCCTTGCAACAACACCAACCAACAGCTACATCGAGGACATTGATTCAGCCTGACTACAAGAATAAGAAGAAGGTTTTGTTGATAATCGGTGGAGCAGCCACTGTCTTTATTGGGAGTGCAATCAAGATGAAATGTCCAGTCAGAAGGTCAGTATAGACAACACCTGTCAGCAGTTTTTTTGATTTACCCACTGCAAAACTTGATAGCTGTAGTCACAAAAAATTACTGTACCTTTGATAACAAGTAATTCGGGTCTTCTAGGACACCAGAAATAATAATCTGTTACTCATGAAATAGTCCTGTGAAATTCCATTCGGACATCGTAACTTTTTCCTGTGAAAAAAATCGAAAAAACAGAATGCAAAGTAATATTTTTCACATCATCAATAATAGCTCAAGTTCGACTGAATATTTACAAAGACAGAGACTATGGGAATTTATATTTTTACACATTGCACAATCCACAATGCATTCAAGCTTTCAAGCAATTGTTGATGTAACGATAATGGAACTTTTTATTTCAGCTTTGCAAAAAAAGAGCAGTTAAGCACGAAGTTTGACTGTAGATCTCAAAACATTTGAATCGAGTAGAAAAAAACGAGCTTCCTTAATATTTCACTATTAAAGAATCTGACAAGTATGGTTGGTGTTGCTCTTTTCTTTGAAAAATTTATTCAGTGCCCCGTTAATCTGTGAAGAAAATGTAAAAAAGAAATGTGGTGAGTAGATGTATGGAGAAATAACCTTGTTCAGGGTCTACAGAATAATTTTTATGGATTCTGAATATGTCAAGGTTTAAAAACAATTTCCTCATTGTAGTGTGCAGCAGGACGTGGCGTGTCAGGAAACAAATGCAGAATCATCCGAAGAGTCCGGTACGAAATGAAGAAACTCGTCGGACCAGCTTACAAATGATCTCATCAAGCCACCCGTTTCAAAGAACTTCATTGGATCGCCGTGTCAAGCAATAAAATGTGAACTGGTGCTTTCAATATAGGTTGTAAAATGCAGTATTTTTGTGATATAGGTTTGGTTGTTGATTAGCACCGACTTGTCATTGGCCAAACATGGCGGCAAATGTCATTCGTCGAATGAGTAGGCAGCCGCCTTTCCCTGTCATGTTGATTCTATCGCTCTGGACACAAACATGATGTCAAATGTCATTCGTCGAATGTTGTTATTTTTTCTTTTGAAATAGTTTATTTAAACAAAAAGTATAACCAGTTTTAACAATAATTCCCCAATCAGTGTTTGCAAACACTGGCCCCGAGAATAACAAGACAATAATCAATATCTATGAACTACAGTTTTGCTCTAGCACTGCACCACAAGTTTTCTTCCTGTGTTAATTGTACAGATAATGGCCCAGAACCACACTGTACCGGTGGACAGACCCGCAGTTATGTGCCCACAACCCAAATCTGCAAAGATGAAGCCTTGCAACAACACCAACCAACAGCTACATCGAGGACATTGATTCAGCCTGACTACAAGAATAAGAAGAAGGTTTTGTTGATAATCGGTGGAGCAGCCACTGTCTTTATTGGGAGTGCAATCAAGATGAAATGTCCAGTCAGAAGGTCAGTATAGACAACACCTGTCAGCAGTTTTTTTGATTTACCCACTGCAAAACTTGATAGCTGTAGTCACAAAAAATTACTGTACCTTTGATAACAAGTAATTCGGGTCTTCTAGGACACCAGAAATAATAATCTGTTACTCATGAAATAGTCCTGTGAAATTCCATTCGGACATCGTAACTTTTTCCTGTGAAAAAAATCGAAAAAAACAGAATGCAAAGTAATATTTTTCACATCATCAATAATAGCTCAAGTTTGACTGAATATTTACAAAGACAGAGACTATGGGAATTTATATTTTTACACATTGCACAATCCACAATGCATTCAAGCTTTCAAGCAATTGTTGATGTAACGATAATGGAACTTTTATTTTCAGCTTTGCAAAAAAAGAGCAGTTAAGCACGAAGTTTGACTGTAGATCTCAAAACATTTGAATCGAGTAGAAAAAACGAGCTTCCTTAATATTTCACTATTAAAGAATCTGACAAGTATGGTTGGTGTTGCTCTTTTCTTTGAAAAATTTATTCAATGCCCCGTTAATCTGTGAAGAAAATGTAAAAAGAAATCTGGTGAGTAGATGTATGGAGAAATAACCTTGTTCAGGGTCTACAGAATAATTTTTATGGATTCTGAATATGTCAAGGTTTAAAACAATTTCCTCATTGTAGTGTGCAGCAGGACGTGGCGTGTCAGGAAACAAATGCAGAATCATCCGAAGAGTCCGGTACAAAATGAAGAAACTAGTCGGACCAGCTTACAAATGATCTCATCAAGCCACCCGTTTCAAAGAACTTCATTGGATCGCCGTGTCAAGCAATAAAATGTGAACTGGTGCTTTCAATATAGGTTGTAAAATGCAGTATTTTATGATATAGGTTTGGTTTGGTTTGGTTTGGTTTGGTTGTTGATTAGCACCGACTTGTCATTGGCCAAACATGGCGGCAAATGATTCCCAAGAATAACAATAACCTAAACTTAAGATACATAACGTATATAGGACCAAAGATATATAACATCTGCCAGAACACTTGAAAAAGTTGAAAAACATTTAGCACCAGCTGCAGAGAATATATTTTTGAGAATACTGCACAATTTGAAAGGTTTTTCTAATGATTTTTGATAGTACGATTGAACTATTGTTCGGGATATTGAGGTTGATTATTGTTTTTTATATTGTATTTTATAATCCAATAAATAGCATATTCTTCTGATTTGTAAGTCCGGATGATGAAAGCACATACAGGTGGTTTGAACCATCTAGGTGCATCTTTCTGTCATCAGGATGTCCTTGATGAAGAGGAATTATATTGCTGTATTATATATTTATGTGTATTTATAATTTTTTGTATATGGTCTTTGTTGGATGTTATTGATATTAAATAAATAAATAAAATGAGTCATTAAACTCTGGTGTTAACCAGGTTTCACTAAGTATAATTATATCATATGATGCCATGGACACGTTGTTTGAAAATTCATTCAATTTAGTTCTGATGCCTCTAATGTTCTGGTAATAAATCCTAATATCATTGATAGGGTTAATTCCTGCGCCGTGGCTGGGCCTGCCTTTTAAAAAAGCGTCTACCTTGTGCTGATGGTAATGGTTGATTCTTCTAGGGAAATTGAATGGCTTGACAATCACATTTTCAGGCCATATATCGCTATTAAATAATGTATTCTTGACACCAGGTTTCACGGAGAGGGCTTAAAAGATGCCACCACATGTTGGTTCTGAGACGACAGTTTCTCATAGGTTAAGGCTTCAATGTTGTTGGACTTAAGATAATTTAGTAATTGATCAGTTGTGGTTCCTGCTTCCAGGTTGCCTATATAACACCAGAACTGTTCCTCCGCTGCTACAATTCCAGTTGAAGTTTTGTTTGTACCCCTGACAAGAGTGTTAGAGTTACCAAGTTGTTTAGGACCTGTTGAATGTTCAGATTGCTTGATGGGACCAGGTTTAATGGAGACTGCAGTTGAGCAGGTAGGAGGGCCATTGATAGAAACCAATGCATCATTGATAGCTTTACTCGTTTGCTCTTGTGTGATTTCATGGACTATTGGGGGCTTGGACAACTTACTTGCATATGTCTTCATCTCAATCTTCATGCAATTGAGAAGTTCCTTATTAGTTTACCCTGAATCAAGTTAAGGTGTGAGCTCAAGGATTTGGTTAGTTCATTGTTGATCTTTCAGTGAAGAACAACAATTTATCGTCAAGTATAGGTTGTAAAATGCAGTAATTTATGATATAGGTTTGGTTGTTGATTAGCACCGACTTGTCATTGGCCAAACATGGCGGCAAATGTCATTCGTCGAATGAGTAGGCAGGCGTTCTTTCCGTGTCATGGTTGCTCTAAGCATTGCACAAAGATGGCGGCAAATGTCATTCGTCGAATGAGTATGCAGGCGTTCTTTCCGTGTCATGTTTGCTCTAAGCATTGCACAAAGATGGCGGCAAATGTCATTCGTCGAATGAGTAGGCAGCCGCCTTTCCCTGTCATGTTGATTCTATCGCTCTGGACACAAACATGATGTCAAATGTCATTCGTCGAATGTTGTTATTTTTTCTTTTGAAATAGTTTATTTAAACAAAATAATACAAAAGTATAACCAGTTTTAACAATAATTCCCCAATCAGTGTTTGCAAACACTGGCCCCGAGAATAACAAGACAATAATTAATATCTATGAACTACAGTTTTGCTCTAGCACTGCACCACAAGTTTCTTCCTGTGTTAATTGTACAGATAATGGCCCAGAACCACACTGTACCGGTGACAGACCCGCAGTTATGTGCCCACAACCCAAATCTGCAAAGATGAAGCCTTGCAACAACACCAACCAACAGCTACATCGAGGACATTGATTCAGCCTGACTACAAGAATAAGAAGAAGGTTTTGTTGATAATCGGTGGAGCAGCCACTGTCTTTATTGGGAGTGCAATCAAGATGAAATGTCCAGTCAGAAGGTCAGTATAACAACACCTGTCAGCAGTTTTTTTGATTTACCCACTGCAAAACTTGATAGCTGTAGTCACAAAAAATTACTGTACCTTTGATAACAAGTAATTCGGGTCTTCTAGGACACCAGAAATAATAATCTGTTACTCATGACATAGTCCTGTGAAATTCCATTCGGACATCGTAACTTTTTCCTGTGAAAAAAATCGAAAAAACAGAATGCAAAGTAATATTTTTCACATCATCAATAATAGCTCAAGTACGACTGAATATTTACAAATGGGAATTTATATTTTTACACATTGCACAATCCACAATGCATTCAAGCTTTCAAGCAATTGTTGATGTAACGATAATGGAACTTTTTATTTTCAGCTTTGCAAAAAAGAGCAGTTAAGCATGAAGTTTGACTGTAGATCTCAAAACATTTGAATCGAGTAGAAAAAACGAGCTTCCTTAATATTTCACTATTAAAGAATCTGACAAGTATGGTTGGTGTTGCTCTTTTCTTTGAAAAATTTATTCAATGCCCCGTTATATCTGTGAAGAAAATGTAAAAAGAAATGTGGTGAGTAGATGTATGGAGAAATAACCTTGTTCAGGGTCTACAGAATAATTTTATGGATTCTGAATATGTCAAGGTTTAAAACAATTTCCTCATTGTAGTGTGCAGCAGGACGTGGCGTGTCAGGAAACAAATGCAGAATCATCCGAAGAGTCGGTACGAAATGAAGAAACTAGTCGGACCAGCTTACAAATGATCTCATCAAGCCACCCGTTTCAAAGAACTTCATTGGATCGCCGTGTCAAGCAATAAATGTGAACTGGTGCTTTCAATATAGGTTGTAAAATGCAGTATTTTTGTGATATAGGTTTGGTTGTTGATTAGCACCGACTTGTCATTGGCCAAACATGGCGGCAAATGTCATTCGTCGAATGAGTAGGCAGCCGCCTTTCCCTGTCATGTTGATTCTATCGCTCTGGACACAAACATGATGTCATTCGTCGAATGTTGTTATTTTTTCTTTTGAAATAGTTTATTTAAACAAAATAATACAAAAAGTATAAACCAGTTTTAACAATAATTCCCCAATCAGTGTTTGCAAACACTGGCCCCGAGAATAACAAGACAATAATCAATATCTATGAACTACAGTTTTGCTCTAGCACTGCACCACAAGTTTCTTCCTGTGTTAATTGTACAGATAATGGCCCAGAACCACACTGTACCGGTGGACAGACCCGCAGTTATGTGCCCACAACCCAAATCTGCAAAGATGAAGCCTTGCAACAACACCAACCAACAGCTACATCGAGGACATTGATTCAGCCTGACTACAAGAATAAGAAGAAGGTTTTGTTGATAATCGGTGGAGCAGCCACTGTCTTTATTGGGAGTGCAATCAAGATGAAATGTCCAGTCAGAAGGTCAGTATA